ACAGAAATGGAAAATACCTGGGGGTGAGAATTCCACTGGGTGTTATTTTCTTTTTTTTAATGGTGCTGTGGATGGAACCCAGGCCTACCTCACACATGCCAGGCAAGCACTCTCCCACTGAGCCACACCTCAGTCCCACAGTGGGGCAGGTTCATGAGGGAAGGAGACACCTTGGTCCTCTGGTGCTAGTCTGCAGTGGGCTCTGCGGCACGGCCTCTCGTTTGTCGGGAGCAGCACAGAGCTCGAAGGGTCCCCAGTGCACCTCAGCACTGCTGTTCCTGCTGCTTAATTTGAAGTCTAAAACGTGGGGTGTGTTGTCTGAGTCTTCAGTGACCCTACGACAAGATCTGTTCTCCTAACCCTTCGAGCTCAGTTCTCTGTTTCCTTCCACTTAAACTGCAGATCATGGACTCAGTCTCAAGGTTGAAGGATGAAAATCAGTTTAACCTCAGAAAACCTAAAGTTCGAACCAGAGGTCTAAACCAGGAATTGATGAACTGCTGTCTTTGACTCCCCAGCCACCACTGTCTTAGAAACAATCAAACTCTAACCAAGAATGACCTTTGGTAGGTGAGGGGATAAACAATGGTGTGCTCATCTGCACTGTGGCATAGTGTTCAGCGTGCCAGCAAGACGCAGAGACAGGGACATGGGCCCTGAAGGTATACTGTTGAGTGAAAGAAGCCAGTCTGAAAAGGTCACCTGCTATATGAGTCCACCTCAATGACATTCTGCTAAAGAAAAAGAGATAGTAACAACATCAGTGGTCGCTGGGAAGGGAGGGATGAATAGGTCAAGTACAGAGAATTTTTTTTTTGGGGGGGGGATACTGGAGATGAAGCTCAGAGGCACTTGACCCCTGAGCCACATCCCAGCCCTATTCTGCATTTTATGTAGAGACAGGGTCTCCCTGAGTTGCTTAGTGCCTCACTTTTGCTGAGACTGGCTTTTTGAACTCATGATCCTCCTGCCTCAGTCTCTCAAGCTGCTGGGATTACAGGCTTGCGCCACCACACCTGGCAAGTACAGAGAATTTTTAGGGCAGTCAAATGATTCTGTAAGATACTATTATGGTGGATCCGGGTTGTATAGCTGTCGAAATCCACAGCACACACAACACAAAGGAACCCTGACGTAAACAGACTTTGGCTGATGGTGATGTTGATAGAGATGATGATGATGCTAGTGACCATACTGTTGATCCACTGATGGTAACCAACGTTTCACTCAGGCAAAGGACATTGGTGACAGGGGAGGCTGAGCACAGGGTGTCGGGGGTAGCATATGGAAACTGCGCACTTTCAGCTTAATTCTGTTGTGGACCTAAAACTGCTCTGAAAAAATAAAATCTATTGAAAAGAGGAAAAATGTTTAGACAGAACGCCTGGAACACTGCAGAAACACAAGGAGCTACAAGTCTACATTGCTACTTTCCCTTGGGGGGGCTGATAGCTCTGGCAGTTCTAGCTTCAACAAGGTGGAGGTGCTCCTGACTGGTTCTCACCTGGACATGGTCTTTACCTGGCTTACTTCCCTATGTATAGCCTGACTGTCCCTAGGGGCAGTTTGAGACTTATGGTCTACATTAACCATCCTCCAGCCCCTTCCACCCACTGGCAATGTGGTTGTCATTATTACTGGGGGGGCAGGGGGTGTTGTTGGCATCTGGAGGGTTGAGGCCGGTCATGCTGCACATATCTCATAGGGCAGCCAACATCCTAACTGTCTAGTGCTGAGGCTTGGAAACTCATGTAGAGAAATAATTTTCACCTGGGGAAATCTCAAGAAATACACCCAGCCTTTGTGGATTTCACACCTGCAGATTCAATTAACCTTGGACTGAAAATATTCAAGGAAAAAAAAAAAACTGCACCTCTGTATTGACCATGCCCCGACTTTTTTCCTTGTCCTGATTCCCTAAGCAATACAGAATTACAGCTGTGCACACAGCATTTACATTGTTTTAGGGGTTATAAGTAATCTAGAGGTGATTTAAAGCTTAAGGAGGATGTGTGTAGTTCTATGCAAATACTGTGCCGTTTTATAGAAGGGATTTGAGCATCCTTGATTTGGGTATCTATGATGGTGGGGAAGGGGTCAAGAAGCAATCCCCTGTGGATACTGAAAGATCACTACACTGATATTGGTGCCATCCCCAGTAATTCTGATTTAAACGACAGATTGGGGTTTCCTGGATGAAAGATTGAGTTACTCAGGTGAGTATGATGTGCAACCAAGTGTGAGAATCACTTTCTGAAACTTTCTTTGGGTAAATCAGGGCTTTAGGTAGCCAGGACTGTCACTCATTGATTCATTTGTGCATACAGCACCTACCAACCCTTCCCCTTGTGTGCATTTTGGGGCTCCAGAAATGAGCCAGATTCCAACCTCCTGCCCTTAGGAAGCTCCAGTTTAAATAAGCCCTGCCTCTTTTAGTTCGTTCCTTCCTGAACTTCAGTATGCTTACAGATCACTTGGGGATCTTGTTCAAATACAGACTCAGATTCAGTAGGTCTGGGTGGGACCTGGGACTTTGCATTTCTAACCAGCTCCCAGGAGACACAGATTGAGAACCACACCCATAAGCTTCATTTTGGCCCAGAATTCTCCAGATAGTCTGACCCAGATAACACATTTCTCCATAGGCTTCCAAATAAATATAACCACTTCTCACAAATGCCTTGGACCCAACTACTGACAAAGTTCTCAAAAGATCTTCACAATAGCCAGGAATAGTCCAGGATTATTTTACTAATGATTCCATGTCACAGATGAACAAACGAAGTACAGAGGTAAAGTAGCCAAGTTACTACCTGTGCCAGAGGTGGAACTGACTTCCGTGTCAGAGGTTTCTCCTTCAAGTTGGCTGGGCTCTCTCAGCCAGGGTTGGTTTCTGGGGATCCTGAGCTCAGAAGGGCCCCAAACTGAATGATTGAATGTCACCATGTTGAAATTTTTCATTTCTGCACAAGAGGTCCCATACTGTCATTTCATACCTCACTATGCAAATTTTGTAGCTGGATTCAGAGAAGAAACATTACAGAGGCTCATCCCCAACTTGGGGGACTAACAGCTTAAATCAACCAGCTTGTTTTTCTAAGGGAAGAAAGAATCATACTGATTCTTGGAGTCTAAACATACCTGGGTTTGAGTCCTGAGGCTACCAGCCACAGAGCTCCGTGTGATTGCATATTTAAATTAGCTTACCCTCTATTTCCTATTTCCCCATTTATGAAAAGAGTTGAAATGGGCGGGTATCCTCCACCTGGATGGCACACTCAAGTCACTAGGGGAGGGGAGCTAGGGGATGGGAGCTAGGAACCCAAGCATCTAGATATTCTGATTCAGTTGGTCTGGAATGGGGATGGAGCTTTAAAAGCCCCCCCCCCCAGCATCTAAAGTGCAGCCAGAGTTGAGAACCACTCCTCAACCTTCTAGAACCTTCAGGGTCTGGGAATTCTAGAGCAAATGATTTATTCTGAGAATCTTGGAGAAATGTCTAGACCTTCTTCAGGCTCCCAGCTAACTGGAGACCTCCTTCCTCTAGTCACTTTTGTCCTACATCCATCCCTCCAGGTACCTACCTCCTCACATTTTAGATTTTCCAAAGTGTGCTAAATTCTGAAATTGCCCAGGGAACTGGCATGAGCCACCAGGAATTCTCCAGGCAGGAAATACACAGCCCCACAATTACACTAGGACAATACAAAAGCTTATTTTGCTTTGCAAAGTAACTGCTTTCCAGAAGAGGTTTTAAAGAAATAGGCTTTGGCATGTGGATAGGCAAAAATAGAACAGAGCTACCTGACAGAGTGTGATCCTGTCTGTGTAAGACTGTGCATTTATGCCTACCACCATGGGTACAAATGCACAGAAGAGAGCTCTGGAAGGGTGGCTACCACGAAATTAACTGTTCCCCCTTTTTGCTTCTCAGTTCTATTTTTTAGTAAAGGTGAGTATCTATTTTTATCTCCTGAAAAAGAATAAAGACACTTCCATTCTAAGATATGGGGGTAATTTACATCTAACTGGGAGAAAAGGTCACAAAGTTTCCAGTGATTGATTTTTTTCTAAAGCTAAATTCTCTTGTCCATTAAGTTTGCTGGTGCACTAGAATAATTAAAGTGCTAGGAGATGAATGAGAAACATTTGCTTTGGTGAACCTTATATAAAAGTAGAACACATTCTAAGGAGGTTGTTCGTCCTCATTAAAAAAGAAAAGAAAAAAAAAAGCTTAAAAAAATCGAAACAGAATTGATCTCCTGCGATTCCCCCAAGAAGGTCTGGAGTTGAGGGAGGAGGCTGACCCCAAATCACCCAGCCTCGAGGCCCAATTGGTGGAAAGGATCCCAGGTCAGGGCTGGAAAAATTCCCACAGGGCTCAGAGATCCAGCACCACCCGACCGAAGGAGAAGGGAAGGCAGGAGAGGGTGCCAGATGGATGCATCGGGGAGGGCCCCCCCCCCCACGGTGTCACTTTCCCTGAACCTGATCTCAGCCCCTAGCACAGCCAGCCCTTATATAGACACTAAGCAGCCGCTCCCACTCCGTGTGCCAAGGGCATTAAGCGAGGTCACCGCAGCAGGCGGCGAGGACGTCTGACCCTGCCAGCCGCGTCGACCCCTGTCTATCTAGGACCCTTGCCCAGGTTTATGCAGCCTTGCCCCAATACGACCGCCAATTTCTTCCCGTCCCCCGCAGATGTTCCCCCTCCTCTAAACAAACTCGCTCCTCCTTCTCCTTCCCTCGCCTCCGCAGCTGCTCCCCCTGCCCCAGCACCTCCATCCCGGGGGGCTTCCTTCCCCAGCCCGCACCCGCGTGGGAGAACCCCAAGACCTCAGCATCCGCCTACTCCCTCGATCCAGTCCCGGGTTCTGTCCTACCCACTCCCGCCTTCATCATCCAGGGCTTCTCCTTTCCTGCGACCCCAGAGTTCACCGCCGTGCCCCGACCTCCGCCGCCAGCCCCTGCAGCCCCCGCAGCCCCCGGCCCGAGCTCACCGGGTTCATACTTGAGGTAGAGAATGGAGACGATGAAATAGCTGAGGTCAAAGACTGGGAAGAGCGGCACCCGTGAGAAGCTGAGCGCCAGCTCGCCCAGGCTCAGGGCCGACAGCAGGTCCATGGCGCGCGCCGGGTGCCACCGCGGCCCCCGGCCCTGTCCGTCCCGCCGCCCGCGGCCCGGCGACTGCGCCCCCGCCGCTGGGCCCGCCCCGGCCCTCCAGGCGCCACCCCCAGCCCGTCCCCCGCGGGAGAGGAGGGGCGACGGTTCACCCCGGGGCGGGTGGCGGGCCGCCCAGTCCCACGGAGTTGGACGACCGGGTCCCAGGCCCCATCACTCGGGTCATCACGACCACCCCCCGGCCTCGCCAGCCTGGGAGCCCGGCCCCATGGAGGGCGAGTCGGCCGGGAGAGGCTGCCCACTCGGGCACCTGGCCCTCACCGAGCCCACCCAAGCGGCACGCCCGTCCCTGCGGGCCTGGCTCGGCTAGGACACTGCTTCCCGTAGGACTCTGTCGTTTGTGGACCCTACTCATGACCCCTGCTCCCAAAGAGACCCCCTCAGTCAGGACATCCGACCCCTGTGGAACCCAGGGGAAACCCCCAAGTCCCACAGGACCCGTTCGGTCAGGATTTTCATCCTCCAAGGGACCCACCAGTCAGAACCCCCTGCCCTGTGGACCACCCATTGGGGACCCTCTCCCCGGCGGTGCCGGCTGAGAGTCCCCGCCTCCCCCGGGGCCCAGAGGACCCCCTTTTGGAGTCCAGTCATTGGAGCGCTCCGTTTCGGAGGAGCCCACTGTGACAGAACCCGCCTCCGGACAGCTCCTCAGGCATCCGGAGCTTCCTTTTTGCAGAAGCCCGGACCCAGCTAGGAGGAAAGAATTGCAGCTGCACTAAACCTCCCGCGGCAGGTCACGCATGCGCAGAACTCTTCCAAAGCGCCCCCACCCCAGAAGGCTTCTCTCTCTCTGAGGCGAAGAAGCATTTTCGCCCCGCCCTTCCTGCCCGGACGCACTGGGCCTCCCCTGCGAGGAGTGGCGCTCGCTCGTAAAGGGGCCTGGCCTGCAAAGGGCGGGACCCTGCCTGCTGCGGCCTTCGATTGGTCCATCTCTCGCCACAGTTGTTCCAGGATTGGTCGATTAGTACTCCTCTCCCCTCCCTTCCTGGGGCTTCCGTTTCCGGTTCTGACGGGTACTTCTGCTGTAACGATGATCGGGGACATCCTGCTGTTTGGGTAATTAGAGGGGCCAGAGGATGGGGAGAGACAGCCAGATGGGGCGAGGGGCGGCCTTAGTAAACGTAATTCTCCTTCTGCAGGACGCTGCTGATGAACGCCGGGGCCGTGCTCAACTTTAAACTGTGAGTAGGCCGCGCTAAGACTGCGCCTCCACCCGGGAGCTCGTAGTCACGCCTCCGCGGCGTAAGCCCGCCCCACGTTGTAGGCCCCGCCCCAAGCCCTGGGTCGACCTCTGGTCGCGCCTCCTCTCTGGTTTTTCTTCCTTTGACCCTCAGCAACACTACGGAAATGTAAATCCGGTCTCCTGCTCATATCCTCTGGGAGCCTCAGCCTCTTTCTCCCAGAAATAGCCCTGCCCTGGACCCTCGGCTACATACTCACTGCCCTTGGACCACCCTGTTCACCTTGTGGGTGTGGCTTATATGGGCCGTGTAGGTGGTGGCCCAGAGACACTCGAGGTCACACAGCATGACAGCGGCAGGAGTGTCCGAAGCTTAGTAATCACGGCCTTCTGAGCTGTGTTGCAGGGTCAGGGGACCAAGCCTTCTTTATGACCCATTGAAAGTGGACATGGTCTTTCTTCTCTTTATAGGAAAAAGAAGGACACGCAGGGCTTTGGGGAGGAGTCGAGGGAGCCCAGTACAGGTAAGGTCTTCTTTCTGCACCCTGCAATCGCACTGTTCACTTAGGAGAGTATGGTTCTTTCTCACCATATCTACCTGGTTTTCCTTCTAACTGAGCGTATGTGAGTGAGAGTGGGTTGGGACTGAGGGTGTGTTCTTCCGTCTGCCCACTTCTGGCACCTCCTCCTTTCTTCTGTGAGACCCTCTCTGATAAGTCAGCACTCATCTCAATTCCTGTTTCAGTGGTTATGATTTTTCATTATGTGTGCTATCATTTGGCTAATGTCTGCCCCTAGCACTGGATTGTAAACTCCAGAGAAGTTCATCCCCTCCCCGTGTCCTCAGAGAGCGGCATGTTAATGCATGTGAGTGAATGAATGAATGAATGAATAGCTCCACCCATCGCTGTTGCTTTCAGAGTGCCTCAGACTTGTGTGCTTTTTTAATTAGTTGCCAAATTGGGAGGTTTTATATAAAAGTTCAGATACCTGATTATTCTTTAAAAAAAAAAAAAGATCAGAAAATCAATCCTGCAGCTTGGGATTTAGGAGCTTTCTTGGCATCCATTGAGTAGGGTTGAAAAGCAGAACCTCGTTGAGACAGGGCCTGGGACTCCACCTCATTCCAGACCCAAGCCCCTTCATATTTGTATCCTGTTACCTACACAGCTTCTGGAGGCCCCAGAATTTTACATTCCCTACTGAATTTATTTATGTGACTCTTGAGAATCAAATGAAAGCTGTATACAACTTGTATTCATTCATTCAATCAATCAGACATTTTTTGAATATCCACTACATTGCCAGCCACTGCTCTGGGTGCTGGGATAAAGCAGGGAACAAGGCAGATGTAGTTCTTACCTCATGGAATTTACCTTGGGGCAGGATAAATATTTATTAAATAAGAATAGGTGGTAAAGGAGGTGATATCAGGAGTCACAAGATGTTGATGGGGTTGCAGCTCCATTTGGAGTGTGTGCTGGGAGGCCATTTGAGGTACCACAGCCAAGGTGAAGGGTGCTGATGCGTGGGGAGCAGAACTGTAGACAGTTTAACAGTTCCACTTTATTGAGGGCCCTTCTGGGTGGCTGCCCTGCTAGAATTTTTCGGCCAGTGTTTCATTTCACCTCCAACCCTGAAAGGTATGGCTCATTTTCCCATTTTATAGATGAGAAAACCGAGGCCAGAGGTAGACATGGCTTTACTTGCCTGTGGCCACACAACAAATGAGTGACAGAATTGGGATTGGAAACTGGTTTTTTGGACTGCAGAGGTTGTACTCTCAGTCACTTGATCAGCTATCCATCCATTCATTCATGCGTGCATGCATTCAGCAGCCATATATTGCCCACCTACAACGTGGGAGACACTATTCCAGGCTCTGGGATTTGCCTCACAGTTCTAAATCAAAGCTGTGGTGGCACAAGGGCTCAGAAATGGTGTCAGAGACAGGAATGGCAAGAAGGGCACCTGGACAGGAGTTTGCTGTGTACTTCTGGATCTGCCACTTTCCCATGCGCTTTGCCTCCCTCAAGCCTCCGTCCATTCAGAACCCTCCCTCTGTGCCCTGAAGGGAGTGCTCCTCATCCCCATTCCCCTTGCCGGGCTGGCCCCTGTACGGTAGTGGCTGCGTTTGTTCAGAGCTCCATGTGTGCCAGGCACCGTGCCGAGGTCTTCTCAGCTACCTACCCGTACCTGAAGAGGAGGAAGTGAGCAGAGACAGTCCAGAGACCAGCCCAGGTCACCTGTGCAGAAGTGCAGAGCCAGGATTTGAACTGCAGTAAACTCCATGGTTGCAGTCAGAGCTTGTTAGCTTCCTCAAAGCAGTTTGACCCCTTGTCCCCAGGTATATGTGCCTGAGTTTGGGAGCTTTCAATTGAAAATACTTTAGAGTCAGCTCAAAGTGGTCAAAGTAGAATTGACTTTGGTACTCCTGGGTCCAGTCTCACACCAGCCCTCTAACTTCTGACTCTCTAGCTCTCAATTCTCCTTTCTCCTATGTCACCAGACTTGTGTTGGCAAAGATGATCCTTGAGCAGGGAATGGCAATTTTTTTTTTTTGGAGGGGGACCAGAGATTGAAGTCAGGGCACTTGACCACTGAGCCACATCCTCAGCCCTATTTTGTATTTTACTTAGAGACAGGGTCTCACTGAGTTGTGTAATGCCTTGCTATTGCTGAGGCTGGCTTTGAACTCTCAATCTTCTTGCCTCAGCCTCCTGAACAAGTTTTTCTGTGAAGGGCCACAAGATAAATATTTGAGGCTCTGAATTATTTGGTCTCAAGCACAAGAACAGTTCTGCTGTGATGGTACAAAAGTAGCCAGAGGTGATTTATAGCTGCATGGGCATGGCTGTATGCCACTTGTCTCACAAAATATTGATATTTTTGAAAAAAACACTGAAAAAAAATGTAAAAGCCATTCTCAGCTCACAGACCATACAAAGAATCAGGCAGCAGGGGCCAGATTTGGCTTGTGGGCCAGTTTTTTGACCCCTTTTTTAGGGCCCTGAGCTTAAAACTTCCCAGCCCAGCAAACCTGACAAAAAATGAGAGATTTTTTCCGAGTAGTTGAGGCAAAAGTCCCAGGGGAATCTCTTACTGGACTGACTTGGGCACATGACCCTCTCTGAGCCCATCAGAGGCATTGGGCCTTGTGCTGTCAGGTAAATGGCCTGAGAGCTAAGGGTGGGGGAATGCGGAGAAAAGCCACACAGCCACTGGAGGGTCTGGATTGTGAGTGCAGCCTGGGCAGAAATCATAGAAGCCCACTGCAGTGGACAGCGCCATAAAAGTGCTCTCTTACTCTCTAGGGGACAACATCCGGGAATTCTTACTGAGCCTCAGATACTTTCGGATCTTCATCGCCCTCTGGAACGTCTTCATGATGTTCTGCATGATTGTGTAAGTCTGGCCCCGCCATCCCCTTCCTGTCTTCTCAACATCATTCACCAGAATGAGAATGCATGACCTCACGGGCGTTCTGTGGCATTTCATTCAGCACTTTTGGGTCGTGGTTTTTGCTTCTAAAATAAGAACTCTTGCCAGAAACAGTGGTGCACACCTGTCATCTTAGCGGTTTGGGAGGCTGAGGCAGGGTAGCAAGTTCAAAACCAGCCTCAGCAACTTAGCAAGGCCCTAAGCAACTTAGTGAGACCCTTTCTCAAAATAGGTTATAAAAAGGGCGGGGGTGGGGTGGGGCTGGAGGTGTGACTCAATGGTTAAGGACCCCTGGTATCAAAAAGAAAACAAAAAAGTAAGAACTCTGCACACAAGTGAGAAAACTGGAGCCTGAAGTCCTGCCTGGCTGGTTTGAGTTT